GGTTCTCACGGTCTCTTCGCTTGCAGGTTTCTTATATTTTTTCTTCTACCCTGAAGATGGAGGCGATACGTTCCTCCGAAACGTCGGTTAACACCACATATACACGGTGCCAAATCCAAGAAGACTACTTTCTGCATAGTCACCGCCGTGAAAGCCTCAAATCTTACATTTTACAGTAATGTTTCATTATTTTGTAACCTCCCTTCCAAAAAATGACAAATTTCTTCTGCTTTGAAGGTGAATGTGTGAAGCTGGGTAGAAAACAAACCTTCAAACATAAATACACTCAATGCAGTTCTGTGATACAAACAATTAAGGTGAAATTATGAATGTTGTAGCATAGAGGTGCATTACTCATGGATGACATCAGAACTGAAGATGTCAAAACTGCCATTTGTGAGACAGACTATTTGGAGAGGCCAACTAAGGGATGATATTAAGAAGACCTATATTGCACACACACAAAGTAGCCATAGAAGCAGAAGTGCCTATAAATCTGTTTATACACATGCAAGACACAAGGGAGACGCTTATGGGGGGAACAGAGATGACTGGGGAAAGTTCTGTCATAAGACAAGCTAACATGGTGGATATGTCAATGGAAGATGGTATGTAGAATATCCAGCATATTAGTCTGCATGAGAACCACATTACTTTTATGTGAGCAATACATTTAATAGTCCAAAAAATATGAGTATGTGAACTATGAGTGGAGATTCCATTCCAGCTATGCTTTTGGGAAGAATCTCTTCCCCTCTCAAACTGATCAAACAGAGTTGTTCACAGTAAGGGAAGAAACATTATGCTTAAAGTAATATAGTTCTGTGGTGAGAAGAAATGAACCTATCATTTCACATTTCTGCTGAACAAAGCAAGAAGCAAAGCTGCAAAAATGACAGGAGAGTATTTAAATGAGGTGTGTACTCTTTTAATATTTCTGTAGTCTGGTACAAAATGTATTTATTCTGTTCTTATGGCATTTATGTTTTAAAATAAACATTTAAAATAAATTCTTACGCTGGTTAAGAGGACAAAAAGCATGTGAAACAGGAGTGTAAAATAAGACACCAATTTTATGCTTCAAAGCATGAAGTGCCAACCCTGAAGAACACACATTCAAAACTGCACGATGTTGCATATAATCTTACAATTAAAAAATGTGAAGTCAATAAATCAGACATAAACAAAAAAACAAACAAAAACTCCGTGATTCTAGTCTGCAAGCGAACTATACCGACTTAGCGACCGCCACTTGTCGGCGAAGTTTAGTGCAAACTTTGGTGGATAGAGGGTGTTGCGCGGTCAGCGCAACAAATCACCATGGCTGTTAGACATCCTTGTATTAGAAATAGGCAACATAATATCAAAGGGAATTTTCATAAATTTGATTAAGTGATATGTAATAATGATGAGGTAAAAAACATAAATTCTGTTCTCTGGATGAAATCTGCATTTCTGCGGCACAAGAATACATACAAATATACTATTTGTCAGCCACAGGCTCATGCTCCATCAGTGATTACATATAATTTGCAATTAAGACATGCCATAATAGTTCCACAGTACACAGTGCTACAGAGTAAATCATCCCATGCGACAACATGATCTGGGAACTCTGCATTTCCTTACTGGGACAGGTTCCTCAGGCTGCAAAAAGTGATGGCAGCACTGACTGCTAAATTGGGTTTAGATTCAATAGTCCTATAGCATATGCCAGTTTCTTTTTGTTGGTTAAGAGTGGTTTGTACATTGGTCCTTTGACATTTATTCTGTAAGGATTAACACAATTATCAGTGTTATGGAAAGACATCATGTGACTACAAATTGCCAGTCAAACTGAGTGGACCTTTCATGTCCATAAGCCATTAAATTAATTGGTTTCAATGCACATTCTAACAGTAAACTTCCATTATATTGTTCCATACATCTTTTACACAACATAAACCAGAATATAAATACTGCAGCCCATGCTAGATGGTCTCTTCCAGGGATATGCCACAACGTGCAACTGCCTCTAGCACAGCATGGATGCCAAATTATGCAGTGAGTTACATGAAACCTTTTATATATTTCAAGTGAAAGATGCTTATAAATAAATTTGATTAGGAATGATCCGTCATCCCATTTGCACAAGTATTTTTGTCACAGAGATCATCATCACTTAACAAAAATAAGTTCCTTTAAATCTTTTTGTGAACTTACATAATCAACAATGTACCCACTTTGATTGTCAGTATATATATAAAAAAAACGTGGAAACTGCAGATTGTAAGTGTTAAGTATACAATTTGTGGTTTTCACAGCAATGAAAACACCACAATATGGTTGGTGGAAAACAGTGTTCCTAAAGAACTTTCTCTGATTTTGACTCTGAACAGACAGGCAGTATGTTCCTCTAAAAAGTTAGTACGCACCTACCAGACTATGTGAATCTTCACCACTCTGAAAACTTCAAATGTTATGTATTATAGATGTACTATGTATATATATATATGGTATAGTTGCTTTAAGTAGTCATTATACAGCAATGCTGATACTGAGTGAAAAAACACCTTCTCAGAACTGAACCTTCAGAATCTGGATAAAGCAACCAATAGGTTTTCTAGCAAGCATTTATTCTCTCATTTGTTCATGCACAGATATCAGAAAGCATTTGTACTCATTGACGCTGCTAATAAGAATGAAGGCCGGCAAGTTCTACTGAAAAAGTAATGGTGTAACTCCATCCATGTACCATATAAAAATTAGTGGTTTGAATACAGATATTTTGAATTAGACTGCAGCTGTCTGTTAGAGACCAAATAAATAACCAGTATCAGCAATAACAGAAATCTGTAGTCATGTAATTGTTGGTTTTAAATAATAATAAAAAAACTGCAAAAACAGACAAAAGTAATTGCCATACTTTGTTTCTTTGTTCCAAAAGAAGGCATATGCAACTGTCAGCTGATAGAAGGAGGGGGATGGTTTATTTTCTGGTAACATTCCTACTGATGTTAATCAGCTTCTTGTGTGGTTGTAGGCAATGATGTTGACATTTCAGAGTTACAGACATTAGGAAATGAATGTGTAGTATAACAATTCAGATATGTTTGCTCTGCTATTGCATTTTAGATTCTGGAATACTGACTTTAATGGTCTTATAAGTAGCATAAAATAGGTCAGGCAGGCAAGCAAAGACTTTCAATACAGAATTTAATAAAAATCAGTTTAATGGTTCTTAAATGAAGTCAACATAATATGAAAGAGTATCTTGTTTCATTACTTTAAAAAAACCGTACAACTATGCATAAAATGCTTTTTCTTGTTCTCATAATTTTGTTCGAAAAATTTTTCATTAGTAGCAAATTATCAAGTTATATATAGAAACGCACCTAGGTTTTTGTGTAAAGTGCCCATTATGTATGGGTACTTGTGTTTGGCATTTAATAATACCGTGTAGCTCAGCACGTGTTTACCAATGTTTCAGACGAAGGCATGCCTCCATTTTCAGGATCTAAAAGCAAAAAAATTCAGAGAAAGTTGTCCAATTTTAATCAAAACATGAATGGATGTGCCAGTTTTTGTAGAACTCTCCAATTTCAAATTTCATGAAATTCTGTTCGGGACATAGACTTGACGATGCTTATAGGCAGTTTTTGCTACTTTACGTTGAGAACGAGTCAAGAACATTTAAAATCGTTTTCTTACACTCTCTAGATCATTATCTGGGCTCTAAATGAAAGTACTTCATATTAAATATTTGGTGTTCAACACATGTTCATTAATTTCAGTTTCACTTCGATAACAACTTCAACATCGCATTACAACACATACATCCACTGCATTCCACAGTTCCAGCCTCATACTCGATGCGCTCAATGCATACAGAACAGCTGTACAAATACAATCGATTACGATCGAGTACAACCCTAGCCGATGACGAACGATGACGACTGCCATCGGTTATATCCGGTATGACGCAAATATTACGTCATTAAAAGCCTTCTTGATTCTGTCGTGTTCTGCGGCCTTCTGGATCGGTCTGGGCGGTCTGGACATCCTGAAGCGAACTACCGTGGGATATATCTGATGCCAACTTCTGATTGATGAAACTATTATATAGTTGCCATAATTTTTATGTCAAGAATAAACATTTCCTAATTTATTTTCGGGAGTTTAAGTGTCTTTATCAACCTGCTAGCCAAGTCATTAATTATAGTTTTTAATTTAATTTGACATTATAACGTAACTTCATATTCCATGGTGGCGACGTGAGTGGCAGCACTTCTAGAGCCTACCGAGTTCTGTTGGCTAAGGTTTAGGTGGTTGTCCAGCCCATGTGTAAATAGTTTTAGGATGTTGATTAAGGAATAGTAAGTATATACAATTAAATATGAGCTAGAAGTGTGTTTAAGCTTCATATATAATTATATGCTATTATTGTCGATACAAAATATCTTATGAAATTAAGTTTCATAGGATTAGAATGACAGGTTTTTATACTACCGGACTAACATGCTACAGGGCTGATTGACTTGCGTTATTTATGAAAAGAAATATACTGTCATTAATTAATATTACACTTAATACTCAACAAATATTGAATAATAGAATATATGCACGTAGTGTGCGAATTGTTGAGTCTCTAGATGCTTTATTCATTTTGACATTTGCGTTCCACGTAATATATAAGCGTATGTGTAAATTTGTACCACATTCACATTTATGTTAAATTATAATTTGTCCTTGTTTCAGCCGAGTTACACTACCCCTAACGGTAGAGGAGGTAAGTTTAATTTTTTTGTTGTCTTTGGTCATGATATAATTGGACCCAATGTCTGTTTGTAATTTTTTCGTTATTTTAAGCAAATTAGTTTGTGCATTTTTTGGTTGAAGTTTGTTATATGTTTATAGTTAAGATACTGGTATTGCTATTTGGAGGAGTAATTGGGTGTACTGCAGGTTTAGTATATCATTTATATCTTGAGTAGCTGCACAGTTGGCAGTTTTTTAAGAAGGGCTCAGCTCCATAAGTGAACTGAAGTATAGGTTCATTACGCACAGTATAGGACACCATTCGGAAAGCCAGGATAGTTCAGTTGGTTTAGCGACTGGCTATGGGCTGGACGACCGAGGGGTTGGAGTTTGATTTCCGGTGGGGTCAGAATTTTATCTACTCCACATTGTACAGACTGGCTCTGGGGCGAATCCAGCCTCCTATCCAATGGGTACCAGGGTTTTTTCCCCAGGTGTAAAGAGGCAAGGGGGTGAAGCTGACCACTAACCTCCAGCTAGTGCAGAGATCAGTAACATGTGGATCTGTACATCTACTCCCACATACACCTTCATGGCGTAGTGCTTACTTAGTTAAGTACAGGGAAAACTTTACCTATAGGACACCATTCAGTTTTTGTGTAACACAGTGGTGCTGTTCGTTGTCCTTTGCCTGAAGTCAGTGGTGCAATGTACGAGGGGTGTACTGAAAGTCATGAGCAACAATTTTTTGTAAAGTAACATGCTTTATTATTGACAAACCAAATACACCACCGCAATCTATAGACCTTTCTTTATTTTTCCACATAATTGCCAATTTTTGTACACATTTCTCCCAGCATTCTGGGAGTTTGAAAATTCCTCTTCTGTAAAATTCCGTTCCAGCCATTCCAAGACACCGACGCACTGCTTTCTGAATTGCCTCCCATGTCTCAAAACGTTCACGCAGCTGATCCTTCACAAATCCGAAAAGATGGTAGTCAGATGGTGCCAGATCAGGGCTATAGGAGGGGTGTGGAGGATGTGAGGCGAGAGTTGTCATGCAGGATGATAAAGTTTTGTCCCGGACATTTATTGTGCAATGCATGACGGAGCTTGTGCAGCGGCTGGACATAATAAGCAGCATTTATGGTTTGCACAGGTTCCAGGAATTCGGCCAGAATAAATCCCTCTGCATCCCAGAAAACTGTGCCCATCACCTTTGCAGCTGATGGCACTGTCTTTGCTTTCTTTTTTGATGGAGAATGCAAATGGTGCCATTCCATACTCTGCCGTTTCGTTTCAGGCTCGAAATGGTGAAACCAGCTTTTGTCACCTGTCACAGTACAGAGCATAAAATCATTGCCTTCGTGTCGATATCTCTGCAGCAGTTCTGAGGTGATGGCTTTTCACTGACCTTTGTGGTCTTCGGTCAATAACCGCAGGACCCAACGAGCACAAACTTTCCTATAGCCCAAACTTTCAATCATCTCCTGTACTGCACTGTGCCCTATTCCAAGTTTTTGGGCTATTGGGTCCACAGTCACATGCCTGTCGTCTTGAATGATCTCATCCACTCTTTCCTTGTTGCGTTCAGTTGACACTGTTCGAGGACAACCACTCCGATGCTCATCTTCGGTGCTGGTGTTCCCATCTTTAAAATGTTTCACCCATCTTTGAACCAGATTTTCTGAGAAGTAGTGGGTCTGTAATGGTGTCCACTCAGCCTTGTGAGTATAATTGAGGAGCTGTTTAAAGGAAGTAGCGGCTCCAGTCTAAGTAACCAAGATTAATGGCCATGGGGATCTGTTGTGCTGACCACACGACACCCTCTATCCGCTAAAGTTGCCACCAACTTCGCCAGTAAGCAGAGGTCGCTCGGTCAGTATAGTTTCCTTGCGGACTGCAGGCCATGGAGTTTAGTTTTTTAGTTTTATAGAGCATACAGTTGTTAGTTTTACAGGAATAGTGATGTTATTCATTTGTTTCTTCTATGAGAATGGTGGTGCACATAGAGAGAAGTAAAGATAAATTATACAGATGGATATACATACTATTTGAATATAATGTATATGTGTAAAGGACTTGTTTATACTGATAGAATGGTGTATTATGGTGTGACCTGAATTTAATTTGGATTTGTGTACATTTTTTGGCACTTTGTTACTAAGTATGAGTTATGTTTTACTTTTATAAATGTTGTTGTCTCTTCTTCCTGTTGACAGTATCAAGTAGCACAGTTGTACTCTGTAGCGGAAGCAAGTAAAAATGAGACAGGAGGTGGAGAAGGAATTGAAGTGCTCAAGAATGAACCATTTGATGACTGTCCACTTTTGGGTGGGAAGTATCACAAGGGACAATACACCTACAAGATTTACCACCTTGCAAGGTGAGGAATTAAAATACCATTAATGTGGAGAAGAGGGCACTTGGCTGGATTGGTGTATTTGCGTTGACTGGTTTACTTCTGGGCTTTCATATTAGCATGGACAGAGATCAAATGTGTATAAATAACTATCTGCATGGAGCAGAGTCCTTCTTATAGCAGTTGCTCATCTAGTGAAGCTGCATTTTATGAACTCCAGAGGTTCATAGGTGTATTCACAAGAGGCCACCACTGGACATTGTCCTCAGCCAGATGAAACCAGTCCACGTTCTGTCACTGTCTCTTTAAGATCCATTGTAATATTTTCCTCTCATCTGTGTTAAGCCCCCAAGTGGTCTCTTCCAATCAGTTTTCCAACCCAGATTTTGTTTGCATTTCTCATTTCTTCACTGTATGCACTACCCATCTCATCCTGCTTGATTTAATCATTTTAATAATATTTGGTAAAGTAAAAGTAAAAAAGAAAAAAGTAACGCTATCCCTGTAACAGGCCACGAAGGCCCATAGGGTTGTGAGATGTTGAGGATCCCACGTTATCTAGACAGTCGGCTCAAAGATGGTGGTAAGGTTGTCAGCCTTACGTGCCAGCCGCGCTTTACTCCCCAGGAAAATAATTTAATGAATTCCTGGTACTCATTTCTGTTAGAGGCTGAGTCGACCCCAGGACCATAGTGCGGCTGGAAGGATTAGGTCAAATGAAAAAAATCCAATGACCTCATTGGGATTTGAATCTGTGACCTTCGAGCTTGTAGTATAGTGCCTCAACCAACTACACTACTGTGTGCACCCCAGTAATATATGGTAAAGCTCCTGATTATGCAGTTTTTCCAGNCCTCAACCAACTACACTACTGTGTGCACCCCAGTAATATATGGTAATGAACACAAATTGTGAAGCTCCTGATTATGCAGTTTTTCCAATCTGCAGTAGCTTTCTTTCTCTGGGGTTCAGATATTATCATGTCCCAGTTCTCACCCGTGCAGTCTGTGTTGTTCCCATAATCTTACGGACCATATTATAAACCTATTAAAATAACAAGTATAGTTTTGTAAGTATTTAAGCTTTTACATTTCTAGGTATGATTTGGGATGACATATGATTCTTAACTGACCGAATTTCACAAATTTAGTATGCTTGTAATTTCTTCCTAAATGCAGTTTTGATTTGTTACTGTTTGAATCTGTGCCTCATTTATTAGCCAATGAAGTGTCAAACTGAATTTAAAGAAACTACTGAAATTATTCATTGTCACATAAATTTTTGTTGCTGTGATTATCAAAGAACCTGGAAAAGAAAATGCAAGGAATATAGTTTGTTCAGAATGACTGGGTTTTTGGACTTTGTCCTTGGTACAGTATTCTAGAAACTAGAAAACAATGTTTTGGAAACTGGATTTGTTTCCCTCCTCAGGTGAGGGGGGAAGACCTACTCTGTTGGGTCCCTTAGAAAGAGCTGTCCTCAAGCTGATGTTTTTTTCAGCTTGTTAAGTGGTAGAAAGAGTGCATTTCTGCTGAAGCACCTATTAGTGCTGATCTGCCAAGTCATCTTTATGGTTGGCAGGAGAGTGGTAGAGGGCACAGATTAACCCATCAGGCTGTAAATCCCTGCCAGCCATGGGGGCATTGTATTTCTACCAAGAGGAGTAAGATATTCAGCAGTAGGTCACAGGGATCCCCTCCCCCCCATTGTTGTCAACACAAGAAGAACTGAAATTTTCTGAAAACAAAGCATGTTATGTAATGTAAAATTTAAACTCTTAAAATATGAACATTTAAGTAACACAAATTTCCCTCCCCTTTCTTAAATATAGGCATGTTGGGGAGGGGGTGTTAAATTCTGTTGTGACCTGTTCATACAATCAGGAGTCATCACTGGATGTGTAACACTACAGCTTTATGTTATAGGGATATGGGGTATGCTTTATGAGTTCTTGATTCTCAGATTAGCAGCAGTTGTTTCCCTGTACATTAATAACTGACTGATCTTTGTAGTGGAGATGTGTGCTTCCTTGGAGTTAGGGACAGCATTTTTAAATATTATTTAAATGAGCTTTTCATCTTAATTTCATGCATCCTGTTGTGTTACAATATATAACTTTATTTTTCCGTCACAACACAACAACTAAGGAGTATCGAGGTCAATACCCAGCTATGCCTCACTACATGTTTCGGCCGTTACTGGCCATCATCAGGTGAATACAAATCAACAAACGTATACTATTGAGCTGTAGTAAAATTAGATGCAATGACAAAATATTTAATACCTTTGTGTAAAAATACAACGGTCATTTATATATAAAACTGAAGGTTATAATATAAAACAAGATTAAAATTGATGTTTTATAACATCTAATCAGTCGTATGTTTACTTTATACGTTCCATGGACAAAATAAAAATATAAGATGGTATTGGAGGCCCATGACATTGCAAGTTAATTAAAAGAGTAGAGGTGCCTCGTCATACGAAAGAAAATGTCTGTACTGTATGAGGAGTAAACAAAGTTGTTGTTTACTCCTGTTTACCACTATTAACAACCACACAGTTATTGACCTCTTTACCAAAATGGTGCAGGGGGGGGCCATTTCTCTGATTCATCCTGGAACTGAAGTTCTTTTATGTATATAATTCTTATATTGGTATAAGTAAGGCAAGGAATAGTTTTATACTTCCTCGACATATGACCCTTGGTCCATGTATTGAATTTTGCAGTCAAATTATATATTTTTCATACAACTTTGAAGCTTGAGTTCTATTTCACCAAACAAAGGTTGCTTTGAATGTTGTTTCTTAAGTGAACCTGAGGATTAGGCCATGCTTATACAATTGATAAGATATTATGGAGATAATTAATAGTAGCAGCTGTGTTGTTTCAGTGTTGTGGTTATCTGAGTTTAGAGGAGTTTCTGAACAGTATGCTTTATATCTGTTTAACTTAGCCTTTGTTCTGATGATTTTCAATTTTTTACTCATTTGTTTATGCTTTCATAAGTAGATAACCAAGGTGAAGAGTTGTGTCTACTGGGACATAATGCCACATAGTCCATTGAAAGTCAAGCTTTGCTTGCTGCCTGCTTCATGCAGATTTCTTGCTTGACAGTTGTTCAGCCCAGAAGATATACATCTTCATAACCACCACTGTTAGAACCTCAAATCCTGTAGATAGCCAAGGGGTCTTCATAAATTGCTTGTAAATGTGTTCTGTTCCTTCATGCTTATGAAATTATTGTAGATATTTTTTTTTGCAGAATTTTAAATAATTTCTTCCATTTTCATCATTGTTACAATATAAAACTTGTTGTCATTGTTGTCGCTACAGCCCTCATTTGGGCCAAGGCCTACCTCCATGAAACTCTTCGTGGTTGTCCATTACGCAACAAATGTTATGTAATTAAAAGTTCATGATTTTTTCAGGAATAACTTGATCAGTTGTGACCTAATCTGAGGTACTACCCTGTATTTGTCTGTAAGGACTGGAAAATCATGGATCATTTATCTCTGGGCTCAGATTTGAACCCAAGACCTTCCAAAATGTGAAACAGCACTGCTGTCCACCTGATTATTACATCTGGAGCTTATACTGATAAAAGTAAACAAAGAAGAGACTGTTTACATAAAAGATAAGATAGTCCACAGGATCATAGGTAGAAAATCTTCCATGATGCAGCATTGCCCATCACATGTCTCACTTCTGAAACTAATCTATGTGGAGACTTTGAATAATACTGAATACAGTGCTGTGTCACTTACAATGAATGTGGGAAAACTGCTGTTAATATAACTGAATGAGGGCTGTAGCGCCAGTGGAAAAAAAAAAATGGACAACCAGGTGAAAATTTGTAGACAGAAAGTCACTCTTCGCCATATGTACAGTGTGAATTTTACCTTTTTCTTAAAGTCCATGTTGAATTATGATTGACTGCAGTGGTGCATATTTGGTGACATTTCATATTATTGGAGTATAAAACTCACAAGTAGGGCTTCAGTTTGCATGGTCTTACCTCACTCACTCACTCACTCATGGAGCTGAGCCCTTCTTGAGAAGCCACCAATTGTGAGCTACTTAAGAACTTCCCAGCATTTTATGAAATCCGAAGGTTCATTACCATGTTCACAAGAGCCCTCCATTGGTCCCTATCCTGAGCCAGATCAATCTAATCCATCCAACCCATCCTACCTTTCTAAGATCCATTTTAATATTGTCCGCCCACCTATGCATTGGTCTTCCCAGTGGTCTCTTTCCTTCTGTCTTTCCCACCAATATTATATATGAATTCCTCTTCTCCACTCGTGCTACATGCCCTGCCCATCTCGTCCTCCTTGATTTGATCATTCTAATTATATTGACGCTGATCATTCTGAGCCCTTATTTTTTTTGATGATTATAGATGATCATGAAATTTATTTCAAATTAATTCTCGGTAATTTAAATTTCAAAAG